CAGCCCTAGTGGAAATGGCTTTTTCCAGTGAGAACTCAATACCTGTCTGTCCTCCCCGAGGCAGTACTGCAGTAATTTGTGTGTACACAAGGTGTGAAGTCAAATTCATGACTAATGGTGGACACATTGGAGAGAGGCTGAACAGGTTTCCATTGCCATCGCCTCTATTGAAAATCGTTGAAATTGCACTTAGTCAGGTTGTTTAATTAGATGTGTGCACTCCTGTCATTCATGGCTGCTTACACAGCTGCTAGGTCCATTCTTATGTCACATGACGTTAAGTCAAAGTAACTTTAACCCAGAAAGTAACAAGGAATGTCAAAGTCATTTTACATGCTGCAGCCCACTTTGAAACTCTGCTTTATGTCACTAGCAGAAGTTTAGATACATATTTAACCCCTGACACAGATGGAGAGAAGTGTGTCAACCATGACAGATGTTGACAGATGATAACTGAATGTTGCTGTAGTAAATGGAAAAACAAATCTGTCAGTAAGGCTTAAATTATAAGATGTAAAATGTGTGGCATGTATGTACCATACAGCGTCTCTAGAGCCGGTTGTATTTGGCCAGCCCCTCACAGCCTCTCGCCAGTATTTAAACACATTCCTGCATTACTTATGAGTGAAACCTTGGCAGAAGAGTGTCGCGCACACAAACAGCATTTTTTCCTGACTTTGGAAACGTGGCTGACCCTCTTTTCTCTCCCATTGGCCTTAGAGTCTCAACAAACTCCGACACCAGGATGAAACGACGAACAGACGCCCCTCAGGACCGGTGAGTTACACAAACAGCAGCAACTTTCACTTCCCATTCGTTTTGCTCTCAGCCACAGTTTCTGCGTGACACCTAAACATGTTTTGTTGCATAAGGGGGACAGAAGATTTCACCAATATTCATGCACCATCCCTTTTCCCCATCTACAGATACTACATGGTGGGACTCATGTTCTTCATTCTGGGCCTGGGAACGCTGCTGCCATGGAATTTCTTCATGACAGCTTCACTGGTAAAAACAAGACTTCACGTGAATAACACAAAATCTGACACAATATGAAGCATATGCTGGGTTTTCAGTGAGAGTATATTTAGTATTTTATACGTCAGATGTAGATTTGTTGTCGTATTTTTGAATGAAAAGCCCTGCGTTTGTGGTGTGTAGTACTTCCAACGTCGACTCGATACAACAGAATCGAGCAACGGGACAGAGGTCGTCCGCAAAGAGTACTACTTCAACAACTGGATGACTCTGCTGTCTCAGCTGCCTCTGCTGCTATTTACCCTGCTCAACTCCTTCCTCTACCCGAGGTCAGTG